CAAGATAAGAACATAAATAAGATAAAAGTTAAATAAGAAAAGGAAAGACATAAAGAAGATATTAATGAAAGTAAAATTTAAGCATTATAAAAATACAAAGAGTGAAAATAAGAGCATGATCTTGATCTGGAAACCAAGATTCCTAAATGCATGGAAAAAGCTTCATTTTATAGGCTAAAATTAGGAACTATTGATTTAAGGATTAATTGATGAGTGCATAGCCAACTCTTGACTTGATGTCAATCCTTATATTCTTTTGTATGAATAAAATATCATTGATAATGTTATAATTTGAACTAAACCTCTACATGATATTTTAGAAAATTGTCTCAGTTTTCCTAAACAAAAAAATTGAGGTCATTTGAACTTCTAAAACTCAAGATATGAGCTGAACATTGAACAGTATATGGGCTGCAAGATAGATTCGAGCTTCTTTATTGTTGCTATAATTTGGACTTGAAAATGACTTCTTTAAACCAGACTTCCACATAAAAGTTGTAAGCCTTTGTTTTACCTTTTCATCCAAATAAAGTAAACTTAAATCCGAGATCTATAGCTCTAGATATAAACCAATTATCGAACAGTGTTGCGGTTGGACTACACCAGCATTTTTTTTCTAAGTATGACCATCTCTTTGTCCTTTTAATTTCAGTAATTAAACTCATCAATCAATCTTTTTATTTATGTGATACGCCTGCATTTAAGATGAAAATTTACCACAAATTAAAGGTATCTTATATTATTAAATATGTTATTATAAAACATTATCCAGGTTCATTAATGATTCGTTTAAAAGAGCTTGACAAAGTACTTAACGCAATCACAAAGTACTTAATGCAATCAGTTCTCACTAAAGAACAAGTTCACCATGAAAGAAAAGACTACAAGGATTTTTTCTCATGCTTGATTTCAGTTTACAAAAGGAAAAAAAAAAAGACCAGACATCATCAATTTTAGAAGGATGATTTTGGAAGAGAAGGAATAAGAATCTTCTATAAAACCTCTTGGTATAACCACCATAGTTTTGCAATTTATGGTTTTGGTTTGCTTGTAAAAAGATAGTTGCTATTAAGTAAAAGGAGGTCAATGAGAGGAGAAAAGGAAAGGAAAATAGGGAGAAAACAAAGAAAAATTTTAGAATAAATAAAGAGAAAAAGTTAAGAAAATCATGTGAAAATTAAGGGAAGAAAGGAGAAAAGAAGAAGTTTATTCAAGCTAAAGATTAAATGCTGAGAATAAAATGAAAAAAAAAAAGCAACAAAGCCCTAAAAATAAAAGCTACTTTATTCAAAAAGATATACTTTAAACTTTGATGAGAAGGTGTAGCCTAATGGACACACCTCTCCTTTAATGTTTTTCATGTCTGTATTTTGTTTGTTTATTATTGATTTTATTAATTTCATTTTAGTTTAGAAGCTATGTTTAGTATCTTGTTGTTCTTAGATTTAATTTCGATTTGACAAGAAAAGTAAATTTAAAACATTTTTAGTATATAACTTGATGTTCTTGGATTGTTAAAGACATGTAATTAACATGTTTGAATGTTAGTTTTAATTTTTTAAGTTTAGGTTGATCACTTGGTTTTATTTTTATTGAATGCATTGATTTACTTAGATTATGGTCCTATTTTGTTCTTCAACACAATGTTAGGTTTAATCCAGCTTATGAATATGTTAATGATGATTAAAAAAAAATAATGTTAAAATTGATGTAATAGTGTTTATGATAAAAAAAAATGCATTGATAAATTTATAAAGTTTTATTTCTTTAAGCTATTATTTTATCTTTTTTTTGTTGTTTTCTTGAAATTTTTTATGGTTTAAACAGGTCAAGTTAGGCATGTTTAGGTTAGTTATGATAAGTTTATGTTTCACTTATGAATTTTAGGCCAAATTTTAAGTATAAGGCACATTCTGGGTTTTTTTTTTCTTTTGAACATTCTTAGTTATAAATTTTGGATTTCCTACCAATTGATGTTTCAACTTGTTTTATGTACTTCAATCACATTAGAGGTAATATATAATTGTTTCATGCCATTAATTTTCCTATTAATTGTGTATATTAGATTAACCATCCTGTTTAGGTTTTGAATGCCTAGGTTAGGATTAAAAGTTATCAAGTATGATTCATGCAATCCCATTTAATGCATCTTTATGCTTGAATTTTTCATATTCTATCTTTGCGTGCCCTTTATTTGATGGTATTTAATCTTTATTATCAATTCAATTTTTACATTGTTATGAATTTTTTCAAAAAAATTCAAACCAAAATCCATTTTTATCTTCTTTCTTTCTTTTATGTGCGTGAGTCTTTTTTTGGGCTAAGTCCATCAAAGTTAAGGGTGTGTTAGCATGCTGAAAGTGTTCAAAAGAAAAAATTGTAATTTTACGTCTTTAAAATGTATTTGCTAAGAGAATTTGGTATACACACCCTACTAATTTCTCCAACTTTGTTTCTTTTTCTTTTCTAATATTTGTCAATCGCAACCCTTGTTTTTCTTTTTATTAATTCAATTTTATGCTTCAAGAGACCCATTTGCAATAATTTTATGTTTATCATATTTTTCTCCTTATTGTTTAATACCAGGTATTGTGACCTACACGTAAGGTTCTTTTCTCATATTAAATTAACCATTTTTCTTTAAAATAAAAAATACAAAAAACAACAATAAAAGATTTCTTTCAAAAATACAATTTTATTTTAAATTGTATATGGCCAAGTCTCTCAAATAAAATTCATATTTTCATAAAAAAAAATAATTAAATAAATACATATCATGATTTAGCAATTTTTAATTACCAAGAACTCAAGAAAAAATAGTTTTGTTTATATCCTTACATATATCCCTACATTCAAAAAACACAAAAAAAAAAATTAATTTGTTTATTTTATACCAAGGATTATGAAACGTGTATATATGATGTATTCCTAGTATTAAAAAAATACAAAAATATATTTGGACTCTAGAATGGCTAGGCTTGATTTATAAGTCATGGTTCACTCTACTAACGTGGACCAACTTTTAACCAATAGATAAATCAACAATTATAAAAACAACAACGTCTTAGTAAACAAACAAATAAATAGGAATGGATAATTTAATAAGGTCAAAATTATTAGACAAATCTTTTCAAATTTGATTGTCTGGACCTTTATCTATTATTTGGATTATATCTAGAGTTACAAAAAACATTATGTTGTTATTGTAATTCAAACATGAGAGAATGACTTGTTTGAATTCAAAACTGAAATTTTTTAGGAATTTGCAAAAATTGAAAAAGCATTGTTTCCTTAGGTATTATGAATTCTAGTCAATACAAAAATTCCTTATTTCTCTTTGAAACATGTGTGATAAGTATTAACTTACATATTCTATAAGAATTCCATATCAAATAATGAAACATATATGATAGCAACTAGTATATATAGTTTCTAAGGATTCCATATTCATTATTGAATGTATGTGGTGGCAAGGAGACTTGTGATTTTTTTATTGTTCTTTTCCTTATTTTATAGGATTTCTAGCACATCGAGACTGTTTAGGAAGCGGTGCAAACCACATTCTCTAAAAATTCAATTTTTTTTGTTAAAAATTAATTTTTTTTATGTGTTTTGGATAGTTTTGATGCGATGATCTTAAAAATTATTTTTAAAAAATAAAAAAAATCATTTTGGATGCATTTTGGCATGAAAAATATTTTGAAAAGCAACCACAACCACACTCCCAAAGAGACCCTTAAGAAGACTAAAGAGAGGCAATTTAAGGGAGAAAATTTCACTAATCAAAAACAAAGTTTCCGAGCTAATTTGAAGCATCAAATTTCGACAAAGCTTCTAGGGGAAACAAAAGGGGAGTTTCGGTCATGCATAAGGATTTCAAGTAAGACTTTGTTTTATGATTTTTTGTTTATGTATTTTAGTGTTGAATAGTATTAGCTTTGGACTTTATTCTAAATTAGGTTTGTTTTAGCCTATTAGACATTGTTTTAGGATTTATTTTAGTATTAGACTTGTGTTAATTAATTATTAGATATGACATATTGGTATGCAACCCAAAAGGGTCCATTAGGATTATTTAGAAGGGAATATATATTATTTTTATAGCTATAAGTTTCGGCAGCTACAATAATTTTAATAAATATGATTTTTCTTTTGTTTTGCATGTTGGAAACAATATTTCTTTACACGGAAAAAAATTATACACCGACTTATTAAAGATTAACTAACTTTGTGGCGTCATTCATATACTTTAGGTTTTTAGGTATAGGGTTGTTTTTGAATCCAAGTTTTTTTTTTCAATATATTTGATTCTTAAATATAAAATTACTTTTGGGTCAGAGTTTCAAACTTGATATTCAGTTTTCTTAAGATGATTTTCAATTTCATTATAGGTTAGACCACATGATTACGAGTTTTGTATCACCAAACCATTAGCGCCCATGAAATATTAGACAACAAAACTTGAGAAAGAAATGAAAAATGTAGGAAGAGAATGCACCCCAAGTTCCAAGTGTTACTATATTCTCTATGCATCTATATATGTTATCCAATTTATAATTACATTTAGGCATAAGTGATGGAGATAAGTGATGGAGGGATTGTTTTATTCCAGAGTAGATATGACGAGGGTATGCCAACTAATTTGCTTACTACTAGAAAAGTTTTAAGATTGTATATGATATTAATTAAGAAATATACTAGAGGAATTGATTGAAGTCCCCTGTAAACACGTAGCTCATATGTATATTTTTGCCTCGAATTAGTAAGGAAACGAATCAAATTTGAAACTTGGCAATAATGTTATTCCTCCAACAAAAGTTTTCTAGTAGTCACATCCCAAAATATAAAGTATAGATAATAATTCCTCGACCCTTCTCTTCCAACCAGTTATTTTATTATAATTGTTTTTAGAATAATTTATGTAATTAGACTGAAAAATCAAATTAAATTCAAAACACCAGAAATTAATACTTAACCCCAATATATATACCCATAGATAGTTATCAAGGAAAGTTTTACACTGTTCATTTCAAGTCGCTTTATAAACTTCATAGTCTACAATAAGAAAGTTGATTACATCTCCCACAAGTAAAATGCATTCCAATACAATATAATGTGGGAAGACTAGTGAATTACTGATCACTAGAAACTGCTTTTCATCAAAATATGGTCTTGTAAAGGTTGCTGAAGTTTTTTTTTTTTATATATATAATGGGAGAAGAGAGACCCTCTTTAAATCCTATACTTAAGACCTAAAAATCAATAATGATTCCATAAGTTGGGCATGCGCACATCAGATAAGTAGCTTTCTGAACTACTTACTCCTAAACTTGGTGACCCTTTAATGTTGGCATTGCTTTCCATCATGTTAAGGTGATTCAAAACAGCTTTTAGTACCTTTGTGTCACAAGAAAAAGAGTCTGAAGGAGTGGTAATATTCATAGGTACTTGCCCAAATGGGCTTGTACCCTTTGTGGGTAAATGTGGTACTTCCATTTGAGTTATGTATGGGAAATTTTGGTTGGTTTGGATTTGGGAGAAAATGGAGAAGCAGGGCACTTGCTCGTGGTCATCTAAATTGGGTTGATTTTGGTCAAAAGTGATGTATGAATCCATTAATGCAGGCAAAGATGAAGAGCCTGTGTCATCATAGCAGCTTCTTATGCTAGGTTTGGCCACAACTTCTCTAGTGTTTTTATAGAACACTCGACATAAGACCCAATCTTCCTGCATGAACCAAGAAAAGAGAGAGATGTTGGTCATGATATAATTCATTACAACTGATTTTATATATATATATATATATATATACACATAGAGAGAGAGAGAGAGGCATGCATAGATGATTATAAAATACACATCTTAGGCTAGCTACTAATGCAATTTTATATTATCATACATTTCATGACTAGTTCAACAAATTAATTAAACTATTTCCAAGCTTTTGTCCATGTAAAATTTGACGTGTCTTGACATAGTTGGTCATAAGACTTGCAGAGTTTAGTTTTGATTGCCTAAACAGATTCATTCACATCCCAACATTTGTAAAGAATTGTTTAATTTTATTTCTAAGTATTTTACATGATCATGGACAAAACCGATACTATTTTCCACGGGAAAAAAAAAGGATCTAGAAAGATACCATTATACTAGCTAAAGGGTAAATTACCTATGGCAAATTTGGCTTTTTCTTGAAAAGAAAAACCATATATACTAGATGAAGTCACAGGATTTCACATACGGAAAGAAAAAAGAAAATGTTAATAAAAGACATGGGGCAGGCATCATGATTCTTGCAAAACCTAAGAAAAACATGCATATATGTAATAAAATTTTAAGAATGAAACTTTGTGAAACCAGGCCAAGAAATTTTAAAATCATTGAATTCATCATAGAGTGAGTATTTTAAATCCACCTTCTCTGAAGAAGTTTTGGGCGGACCAAGTGGCCCTTCAAGCCGAAACTCATGCATGACCCAATCGGTTTTTTTCCCTTTAGGTGCCCTACCTTGGTAGAACACCAAGGTCTTTCTCATGCCAACAAGGGTTCCTTTACGTAAGATATGTCTGTCTTTCCCGGTGGCCTTCCAATATCCAGATGCTGTTGCTCGATTAGTTCTTAGTCCAGTTGCATATTTACGATCTCTTTGGCTGTAAAAGTACCATTCTTTGCCTCCCACGCATGCTGTTTCTACCAAATCTCCACATACAAATAATTAGACTATAAGAAATTTACATGTTATCCAATTATCTGAAATAAACAGCAAGATTATATATAAATGCATATGATAATTAAGGTCAGCTTAAAGCAAGAGAAAAGTGAAATAATGCACCCCTTAGACAACTACATGTCAAACCAAATAATCTTGATGGGTTTACCATAATCAAGGGCGGGCCTTAAATGCAAGCCTTTGGTTATCAGTTAGGTCAAACATTAGGTTTCTTTTAAGACATACAACATCACTGATCTAACATTGAATTGGGTGGTGAAGCATGCGGTTCTAAGATCCAAGGCCATATTGGTTACTGGGTTTTGAATTTATGCGGCCCTGACTCGATCAAAGGTGTGTTATACTAGTGGTGAAGAGATAAGGCATGAAAAGTGACTCATAACATGTGGCTAAAAAATGGTAGATGACTGCAATCCAGTAACAATAGTGTGGTTAAGAGGTCGATGTCTTCCTCTAGTAATGAGAATTATTGAAGGTAAGATTTACAAGTTGACAAAAACAAAGGTTCCTTGCTTACGCAGGTGACACGCGTGATCTATAAATTTGAGTTGACTAAATAATTGATAGATGTTGAAAAACAGAAAAGAGGGAGGGAGGGCTTCAATATTCAATGACAGTGACAAGCCATATTAGATTTGGTAAGAATTACGAGGTTAAAATACCATTTTCCTTTTGAACTGAAGTGTGCAGTGGCCATTATATAATTAGGTTTGTACAATAAGGTATTATATTACATGACTTTAGGGTTTTGCTTAGTTGTTTCAATCACTTTTATAACTTTTTTATTATTATTATTAGTGTGTGTCTTCAAACCCGCTTAACACATTTCAATTAATTCTATTTACTTTAAAATTAATAATTATATAAGTTTTTATAACTCTAACATTTATGAAACTTAAATTTAGTAATTTTTAGAAAATAAATCTAAAATATAATTAATTAAATTACATTCTTTATCTCTCAGAATTAAATTAGATAATCGGGGATAGTGCGAATTGCAAGAGTTTCAATTTCTTAAGGGGAAAAAGGAGAGCATTGAATATGATTTATTTTTTTGGGGGGAATTTAAAAACTTTGCTGGGAGAATAGTGGTTTTCTTTCCTAAAAGACACTTCCACTAAGTTGGTTAAGGACTTCCACCTAAAGACGGTGGAAGAAACCACAAAATATTATTTCTAATAATCCCTTGCGTGACATGTATGCTCTAATATAAAATACTGCTATTCGTATTCCAGTTCTTAAAAACTTATTCCCACCACATGCACAACAACGCAGGCGGACTTTAAACAAATTATAACGGATCTTTATCAAGGCTGCAGGTTTGGAATGTTTGTAATAGTGATAATAGTTATCTTTTAAAGTATTTTTTTTGTTTAAAAATATATTAAAATAATATTTTTTTTTATTTTATAAAATTTATTTATCATATCCATGGATCAAAACAACTCAAAAACATTTAAAAATTAATAATTTAAAATAATAAAAATTCAAAATTGTTTAGAACTCCCGTTGAACGGGTGCCAATAACCAGTAATAAAGAGAAGCAATCCTAACTCCCCTTCTGAATAAGACAATTATAAAGACCTATGTGGCCATTAATATTAATTTTGCCTAAAGAAAAATAAATATATGATGCACACACGTGCGTGCGAATGTATGGTGATGCATGCATGACAACCATTTCAACTCTTTCATTTCCGCATGCATGGGATAATGTGGTGTGCTTCGAATGGTAGATTAGGTTGATTTTTAAAGTTGTTTTTTCATTTAAAAATATTTTAAATTTTTTTTAACATTAACACGTTAAGTTCATCTAAAAACAGAAAAAATAGTTTTAAAAAAACACCTAAAACAACATGAACAGGCTCAACCCGGAATTACAAAAAATAGTTTTAAAAAAACACCTAAAACGACATGAACAGGCTCAACCCGGAATTACAACTTAATTTGTCCGACAGTACTAAACTGTGTGTAGCTAGCTAGGACATCACGGCGATTTTATCTAACTATTATCAGACATACAGCCAACATAGGTTGCCATCCTCGGTGGCCATAGAGAGAGAGAGAGAGAGAGTCCCATGTCTCTCATTTAAGCATAATTAGGAGGTAGCCGTTGGTGGGGTCTAAGCCTTGATGGAAGCTAAACAAGTAATTAAAAAGAGGTAGATGAAGCCTAAAAGGAAGGTAGGCTGGCTTCACAACTCATGGGAAGAGCTAGCCCAGTGCTCATCTGGTGATTTAGATAATCATATCACCAGTGCTCTTCACATCACAATTTACCTCTTTTCAGTGCGTGCCTGCGGCGTCCATGTATATGTATATATGCATAGTTTACAGTCATGCATGCTATCTAAATATAGACTATCAAAAATATAAAGCGAATGATTCAGCGGCAGTGAGGCTGTGAACAAATTCTATTGAGTAAATTATATATATATATGATTAAGGTGAAAAGCATAGTGATTGTAAGTATACATGAAAATATGTTGATGGTAATGATGAGGTATATATTAAGACTCACCAGGAATATCCCAAGGCTCACACTTGTTGAGGTCGACCTCTATCATAAGAAGAGAGTCGCAGTGAGAAGCCTTCTTCATCAAGTAATCACATACAAGCTCTTCATCTCTTGGATGAAACCTAAACCCTGGTGGCAGTTTTGCCTCCACAAAGCTTATGTTGCTCATCTTTCTCTTGCTCTCAACAGATAAGGCAAGGTAACAGGAAGGCTGTATTTATATTGCTAGCAACAATGTGAACAGAGTAAGGAGATAGAATATGAGATCTCCTCTGGCAAGAAGGCCAAGTAGTGTTGTATATATATATATAAAGGCACAAATTAAACAAGATTAGAGGTAAAGTCAACTTAATTATGATGCCGCATAAAAAAGGGAGATTAGGATTTATGCTTAGGTGTAATAATAATATGACATAAGATAGGCCAATCACTGACTACCTGCTGATGGGAGCACACTAGAAGGGGATGGTCCTTGGTCTATGGTCTTTGATTTCTAACTATTTGGAATTCGATGGTGCTTATCATCATAAAGTTAGCACCACAACCAGCCAAAAGGATTATATATGATGATGACGGAGATGACCACTCCACGATTAATCCTTGTTCAAGGGGCCTCCTCTTCCCCTTGGCATCAGACTCCTCTTGTTCTAATCCATATTATTTCCTCAATTCTGCAAGAGTTTGAGTTCATCTTGCTTGTTATTGGAGATTGACCAAACAGATTTCCCATGGCAAAAAAAACCCATGAAAATAAAAATGATTATTAATTTTTCAATTCATGCTGTCTAGGTCAATCCGGCCACTAAATGAAAGCAAAATCAACGAAGAAATTCCTCCTCTTCTTTCCTTTTTTTTTTAAAAAAAAAAAACCGGGGGGTATTCTCATGCCAACTTTTGCTATTGAGACTAATTAATTCCCTATGCAGTTATCCAAAACTAAATTAATACACTCATGAGAAATTCCTTTTCCAAGTCCTCCACAGCGTATGGCCCTCCTCCTTTTTTTTTTTTTTGTTTTAATAGTCAGAGTACTGTTGGAGCGGCTCAGAGTATTGTTGGAGCGGCCTTCACACGTGAAGATTTAGAGATACAGTCCTGTCTTGCACGCGCTTCTACGAGAAGTCTTGATTTTTCCTATTGGATTCAAGCCTGAAATGGTAATGGAGGGAGTAAATCCACTTCCTACATAGTACATACTATGAAAAACTAGACTGCAGATTATTTAAACTTGGATCTCCAGATATTATATGACCACACGAAGGATAATTACATACAATTGAAATACTTGGAAAAAAAACGATTATACCAAATACCACCCAGCCCATCATGAAATGTATTTATTATTATTATTATTATTATTAGTGAAGCGGGCGTATTAACTTGGTCTATGATGTGAAGTAATTCATCCATGAACTTAAAATTTTTGTTTTGTAGATGATGATGGAAAATAAGTCAGTTCATCACCGGTATGCAAACACATTCTCAAACCCTGGCAAAGCTTTTCCTCTTTGTGCGTGTGATTGCGTGTTCTCTCCAACTCTCAGGCATCTCCCAACAATCAGAGAGGCCTGACATTATACAGTGACTGGCAAAGCAATATTGGACGATTCTAATGGCTTTGGAAACGAAAAAATTCATCTTCATGGTTTATTATCTATCACCTTGATATTTATTTTGATGGCACCTCCCACAAAGCAACCCAGCTTTCCTTTCTTCGCAGTGATTTGTCGTTGGGGAATCATGTTTGAATCTCTAGTAGCCCCAGGACCACAACCCCCCCTCCCTAGTGTCGCTGCCACGACAAGGTAGAAATACAGAGCAGGTAAGTGGAAGAGTGGTTCAGAAAGTGGGGAAAATGACATAAAAGTTACCCCCTCTTTGTAATGTAGCAAGGGTTTGACCAGATATTATAGCTTCAAACAGTACGTGGTTGCACGATCCTAGCTAGCAATCCACTAAAGTACGAAATTCGAATGAAGCTTATCCGCGGCAAAGGTCAAGATTCAAGCCACTTAACCAGTAACGGCACCTTTCACTAGTTTTTGATGCTGACGACAACAGTGAGAAGGAACAAAAGGAGGACTGCTAGTTGCTGTATCCCACCGTTTGATTGTTTCAGTGACAGAAATAGTACCTTTGAAATTCAACATGTCGACTGCAGTCACTGCTAACCACCCAATAATGGAAATGAACAAGAACAAACCAGGTGTCTAAAATGACAAAAACCATTCAACCCACAGCATGTGAACACACGTGTCCCAGCACGAGTGGGAGGCTCCACTTGATGCTTCTTTAAGCAAGGATATCTGATGTGACATTCAGCGTTTCAGCTAGTCGACAAATCATCACAGGCGCGCGCGCGCCCCACCACCCATTCCTATTCAGAATCTACAAGGAATGCTAGGGTCAGTCATGACTATTCAATCATGTATATCCAAGTACATGTAACATACGCATATAGAATCTAAACGTATACAACAAACATATCGTGCAAAGCCATGGTCACCGTAATTACACAGTCGCATCAATAGCAACTCTCGAGAGAATTTCTCCAAGACATGCAGTCCTCCAATATCAAACCTGAACATATTTGATCTCATATATAGCACTTGGAAAATTGGAAAGATGAAAATTGACTTCTATTAGCAACGAATAGCTTTCATCCATAAGAAGATTACATACATCGTGTGAAGTCGTCTTAGTTGCTAAACAAACTAATACTATCTAAAAGATGCCACATTTCCGTTAACAAATTTTTTCAATTTCTTCGGCTATTTGATGACAAGAATTCCTGGAGTGGGTCAAGATAAGGAACAAAATGAATGCAAACAAATGTCCATTTCATTCCCAGCCAGTTAACAGAGACATCTAAAGGGAACTGTTAAGAGTAGAGCATCCGACTTGGTAATCAATAATTTAGTGGTCCTTCTAAGGACCCTTCAGGCCTCCAATCAACCGATCTCTCTGACTAATTTCAAGCCAACTTCATAAATTGTTTTTTTATGCAAGTTGAAACACAGAAAGAAGGATCTCAAATAGAATGTTTGCCTAATCATATACCAGGGTGAAAATAATACAATTTCAAGACTCTTCACCACCGTACCATTTGGAAGTTCCATGAAGAAACATGTATCTTCTCTTTCAGTTACTTTCCTCTCCACTCCCCACCCAAAAATCACAGGAGAAAAAAAACATGACATGAGAAATGCAGGGATTCAAAAAAAGAAAATCCATCAAATTACATACAGCTTGCATTACGTTGCCAAACTTTAAATGCCATGAGTATCGCTTCATGGATGCTCAATTCAGAAAAGAAATTGAAATCAATATCTGATTTTCACGTAAACAATAAGAGCAAGAGGTGTAGCAGAAGCAGTGAACATATGCGCTGCTTGTGGTCAGAAACTTGTATACACTTGTTTGTGTGTTGTCTTCAGGATTTCCATTGGACTGGAAAAACTTACAACATGATATAATCATGATGTTGTACTATTCGATTTGTAAGAAGCTGGATATAGTCCCATGATTGGGATTCTTGGACGCACAAGAAATAAATAGGACCAACAAAAATAGGATGCAACCATCTTTGGAGCAGACAACAGACAGACATTCAAAGAGAAGGTTTCTGACCACTGTTTTAAACTCTACGAAGCATGATGCCTTCTTTCACAATGAATGGACTACAAGAATCACACAAGTAAATGACAGAAACATAACCTTAATTAACAGAGTGAAAAAATAATAGCGATACTCACATGCACCATTTCAAATACCGATATACTTCACAATGATGCGACTACTTATGAACATCACAACAGATATTAGTCGAATGTCTGTAAAACATGTGCTCCCACACATCATTCTTATTAAATATTAGTATATGGCATCATGGCTTATAATTATCAATGGGTACCATGATGAGCACTCCTAGATTCCATACGGCCACCCCGAATATATTGGTAGCATACTGAAAATGATCACTTTCCTTTCCACAAATATGTTTTTCATTTTTCTGACATGGGAAAGTGCATCAAATTTAGAGGTGCATTTTGTATGAAGAACAAACATCAATATCATGGACATCAACCTAAATGTTTCGACTAAAATACAAAAAAATTGGCTTTGCCATTAAGGCTAGTCCCCATTATGGTCCCACTCAAGTGAGATCTATAATTGCTCCATATTTCATATATCATAATAACTTGAAAGAATCTTATTTAAGAACCAAAACAAACTGAAAAGCCTTGGTCAGATTTGCAGATATATCAGTAGGGATAGGACAAAGAGTTGTCATTATTACCATTTCTCTGCTTGAGCTGAAATTTGTATCAAATTCTTTTGGCAATTATGGCCACATTCCTTGGGGATAATGCAGGATCAAAGATAGGTAGCATGATTGCTTCCAGAGAACTGCCTTGCTCTTGGAGGAACAATAATCTATCAAGCAGAAGAAGAGTTTCCAAAAGGGGTCCTAAAGCAGCTCGCAGAGACCAGTATGGTCCTATAAGCTCCTGTTTTGAATTAGTGTATTAATCAGTATTATAACAGAACATCTAAAAATATGCCTTCTTCATCTTTCCCTAAAGGTGAAAAGGAATCATTGAGATACTCATATATAATATATGAATCACCACAAAAGCAAGTTGAGGATACCATACAGCAAATGGCTCAGCTTCCTTCCATATTTCATGGAAATGTGTCTCCTGCAAAGATTTGAGACCAAGGCGAGATAATCCAGACTGAGCAAATTTCTTGAATAGCAAATATTTGCTTGCAGCTGCAGTTTCATTGTATCTGGTACCTCCATTGCAGGATAATTCATGAGAATGCAATGCTGAGCCTGAAAAGTCATCTGCAGAACACGTTCCAATAGAAAATTATCAGTATCTTGTTCATTGCTGAACTGTTTTTCCATTGAAGGGGTCTTTTTAATAGTTTGGGATACACTCAAAGAATGCCTTGAGTTCCCAAAGTGATATTTTTTTCTCTATCCCCACTCTCCTTCAATTTCTCTGTACTACCAAAGAAGGGGAGAATCAACTGCAATCTCAAGAGTCAAGGCTATATAACTCTCAAGAATACATTGATTACTTATGTACCTGTTTTAGATTCTGACATGTGTGGATTTAGGTAGAGTTCATGCATATGAGAAATTGTCTCAGGCACTGATGAATGTTTACTTTCTTTGCAATTAATTGAAGACTGCAGGATCCTCCTTTGCTGTTGGCGTCGCAACGCCTTCCCTTGACGGCCAATTGAGGGACTTGATGTTATGATTTCAGGATAAAATTTACAAAGAACCTTCAGAAGAAACAAATGGTATCAATAGCATATGGATGTTGCAAAAAATATAGAACAATCTATTTATCTAACATTAAATAAACTAAGGTGACCTTCAAGTATAAAAGTTTTCATATACAGCATAACAATGATACTGACAGTAACATAGGGTGAGAAGGCAATTTTAAAGCAAATCTGATCTCACTATAGGAAGCTTGTAAGCATCACTTACCATCTGAAAAGCAGCACGGAAGGCATGCAACTCAAAATTATGAAGACCTGCATCTTGTTTGAGACTCCTCCATCTCTCTGCACTCTAAACAAAATTAAGCTGGGTCATGGAGTGCATCTTTAGATAGACAGTGGAGATATGAAAGAAGCACCACAGAAGACATTAGAACTCAACAACAGTTATTCATATTTACTCAGACAATAGCATCCATGCTGAAATAGGTACTTGACTTTTCTATGATATTGCTTCATAAAACTAACGCACTTAAGATAAGCAAGATATCTGAGCACCTGACAAGCAAGATCACGTGAACTTTTCCCAAGTGATATTCCAGCAGATTTAACACCACAACTCACAGGAAAACCACATTGTGAACCAGCTATGTCAAGACATCCTTCAGAAAGCATGTTATAACAGCATCCAATGCTAACAACTGCTTTAACATCTTTGCACTCTAAAAAGGTCCTGGTCCAATAAAGATGTGCACTTTAAAAATTATCAATGGATGATGAAACAACAATACCGAATACAGAGGCCAAAGGCCAGAGCAATAAAAAGAATGGTTTATGCAAATGAGCACAATGAAGCAATTTGATGAAACATAGCAAATAATCCAAATATCAATACACATGGTCAGGGAGAAGTAAAATATAGCAGCTAGTGTTCCAAATCTTCAATACATATGCATGTATTTGTAGCTTTGCCTAGTATATTAAGAATTGAAAGAACATTTTCAATTACATGCAAAATGGAAAGAGATAAATTTACAAAGCTAAAAAGCACTCACTTCAGCATAGTTACTGAAAGATCGCCACATGCATGTAACCCAGCAATTACCAATGAAGTCTTATCATCTGCAACTTGCCCAATCAATCCTGGCCGCTCAACATTATCAATATGTGGTGACATGCTAGTCAATGCTTTCAACATGTCAGTGGACATGACACGGCATGTAATTGTCTTCGGCACATTTGGAATCCCAATTCCTGGACTAACAGAAGAAAGCAAAAGGGATTGGTAACAAAAATAGACACATGATCATGGTAATGGAAATATATTTGTGGTATAACACGTAGCAATTCATGCAAGGCATAGAATAAGCAAGGAAGTCACATCAAGCACTTAAGCAGGCAATCACATATTAACAACTTCCATCAACTAACAACAGACACCATTCAAACAATTTCTCCATGGTTTCCTAAAATATGATAACTACTTCCTTAAAGAGAAAGAAATTGCAGCAAATGTACGAATATATGCATAATTTACTAATTTTTCCGCATTTGAGCTGCATAATGCTTCTTGATCCGTTCTGCACGTTTCTCCGTGACAGTTCCATGATGAGAACAGGCATCGATAGCAACTACAGAATGCTGGTACTGGAAGGTAAGAACTTGGGCAAGATAACCCTAAAACAAAAGTTCAATCAGAGATGTAGAATTTGTACAAGTAAATAGCAACAAAGTTTTGTTTTCACAGCACATGAAAAGAAAAGATTATTAGTTAGTAAGACCACACAGAATTAATTCAAATTAACAATCAGTTTATGTTGACGCAAATCTATAGATCAAAGAAAGAGGCAAACCTGGCCAGCACCAACATCAACTATTGTTTGAGCTCCCACACTATTCGCAACAGAACTAACAACCGCAGAAAGAACTTCCACCTACTCAAAAAAAAAAAAACCGTTACCCATATAAACCTGCTTTCTCATGAAGATAACAATACGCAGTAATTAAATTAAATGATAACATATTCTCTACAACATGCAACTATAACATAAAAAATTAAGAAAGAAAGAAAGAAAGAAAGAAATTCAAAACCGAGCGTCGATCACCTACTTACTTCATGTTTTTTCTTGAAATTCATGCCTTGTGCAAGTACAGTATTAAGCGAAACCACATTCACTCCCGGGAATAGCTGCAATAAATAATAATAATAATAATAATAATAATAATCAGCAATTATTATTTATTACTATAAAAAAAATCAAGTACACAAAAAGTAAAACAAACCTACCTTGTTTATATGCGCTTGCTCGCGAGGAAACGCGAGAGACTTCAAATCTAAAACGAATTCCTTCAGCGAAGCAGGCCAATGCTCCTATTCACATAACAAGATAATTAACACAGCATAATTATACATAATCTAAAAATTATTTAGTTACCTGGATTATACCACAAGGAATTAGGAGGAGATTTTGGACAGGTTCGTTACGCAAGCAATGGAGCCAGACAGGATCAATGGATTGCCATAACTTGTGGGTGAAGAAATTGGTAACATGTGCGTTGGTTAAGAAAGCGTAGGGTTTAATGAAATTGAGGATTGCGTTTATCCATTCTAGGGTTTCTTTTGCTGTTCTGCAACTGTACTTTTGGTTGCAGTCCTCCATTTTTATTTTTGGTTTTTTTTTTACGAACATTTTAATGCTGAGTTCTTAGACGACGTGTTGTTTAGTAGAGGGGACAAGGTATGCGATGTGCCGTTTTGTGCGTATCATACAGGCCAACTGTAAGGAGAGTAGATATTAACAAGCAATTAAATTAAATTGAAAAAAAAAAAGTGGAGTCATTTTTATTAAGGTGATTATTTTTAGTTCAGGTTTATTTTTTATTAAAAATAATTAAATTAGTTTTTAAAAAATCAAAATTAATTCAAATCTATAGTCTTGGTTTAATTTGATTTTTTCAGATTGATTCGGTTTTTTTTAATTTGGCTCGATTTTTTTAATTTTGTTTAATTTTTTTTATTCTAGACTTATAAAAAAAACAAATCGAACCAGTTGGGTTTTAAAAAATTCTATTTGGTTTAATCTAATTTTTTTCATGGTTTGTTTTTCTGGTTATTTTTTTGTTTTTTCAGTTTAATTGATTTTTCAATTGTTTTGTTTATCCCTATATTTTGGTGTGTTTACTAGGTAACCTTTCACATATCGCTATGAATAAGAAACTTCTTTTCATTTTAGTTATTGAACTTTTTCTCCTTGCGATTTAATCCTTTTGCAACTAAATTAATGGCAAATTGATTCTAGTTTATTAATGAAGTACAAGACTCCAAAAAAAGGATCATAGTAAAAGGAAAAGTAAAAAACTACATGGCAATTTCAAAATTAGCTTGAAAAGTTAATTTTTATCCTCTTACTTTTTAATGGATACATTTACAATCATTTTAGATTTAAAAATATGCTTTCGGTCCAAATTTTCATTTTACTTATTTTTCATTCTCTAAGTTTAAGAAAGAAGAGAAAGTAGTTGAATTCTGACAGAAAAGAAAGAATCATCGGTTAGCATCGATTCCAATAACAAAACAAATCAATATTAGTGTTAATAGGTTTTATTAGGTAATATGAGTTTGACACGACCGAAAGATTGATATCTTCTTCCAAGTGTGGGAATGCCGAAATAATAAATAACCCAACAAAACCAGTAATAATAATAATAATAATAATAATAATAATAATAATAATAATAATAATGGTGATGGTGATGGTGAGTTAAAAATGACTTTGAAATGTAAGATTAATGTGAAGATTAAACAATAATAAAACAAATATCAAGGTTAGAAGATCTACTGATGATATTTCAAACAAGTATAGTATAAACTCTTTTTATTACTCAACAGGAAAGCACACTTGATACAACTAAAATATTGATGTCTTATTCCAGGTGCAGGAGTGTCGAAGTAATAAATAACCCAGCAAGACCGGGGTCAAACCATAGGGAGGTTAATTATACAAATTATAAACAACAATTATAAACAACAACAATAGTAATAATAACAATAACAATAATAATAGTAGCAATAATAATACTAATAATAGTAGTAGTAGTAGTGATTGATACTTAAAAGCGTATTTTTATCAAGGTTTTATATTATCATTTTGCACTTGAAGTATCAATAACTCCTTAACTAAAGCATTTCTATGAAGGGTTAACACCTAAAGATAGGCAAATCATGTTTTATAATAATATATCTAATAATATAAGATACCTTTAATTTATGGTAAATGGTCATTTTAAATGTAGGCCTATCACATAAATGAAAGGATTGATTGATGAATTTAAGAACTGAAATTGGAAGGACAAAGAGATGGCCAAACTTAGAAAAGGGATGTCGGTGCAATTCAAACTAGAACACTGTTCGGTAATTGGGTCATATTTAGAGCTGTAGATCTCAGATTTAGGTTTACTTTATATGGATGGAAATTTAAGACATAGGCCTACAATTTTCATATGGAGCCCAAGATCTAAAAATGTCATTTTCAAGTCCAAATTGTAGCAACAACAAAGAAGGCCGAATCTGTCTTCCATCCCGAGCACTATTCAGTATTTGACCCATATCTGGAGTTTTAGAAGTCCAAGTGAGCTGTATTTTTTACACAAGAAAGCTGAGGCAATTGCCTACAACTTTCATGTTTTCGAATGACTCTAATTTTGACGTTATCAATGACTTTTTGGGCAAATAAGAGAAGATAAGAATTGTCACCAAGTCAAGAGTTGGTCACCCACTCATCAATTAGTCATCAAATCAATAGTTTCTAATTTTGGCCTATAAAAGGAGGCATTTGCCATGTATTTAGGTATCTTAGTTTCCAAATCAAGATCATGCTCTTGCTTTCTCTCTTTGTATTTTTTGTAATGTTTATGCTTTGCTTTCATTAATATCAAGTTTATGCTTTCCATTTCCTTTCATTTACTTAGTTAACTTTTATCTTATTTATGTTCTTATTTTGTTTATTTATTTTTCTTTCCTTCATTATGTCTAGCTAAGTTTATTATGTCAAGGTGAAAAGGTTACACTAATGGTGTAAGAATAAGTATAGTGTAAACTTAATATGGACTTTAATATTTGATACTAACATGTTTTGTATTTGTTATCTTGTTCACTCTTTAATACTTTGCTTGTTAAATAACTAATCTTGATTTATGTTGTATAACACTTGGTACAACAAATGCTTGGCACTTTCATAGCCCATACTGTATGGTATAACCGACACCTGAGCTATGAAAAGAACTTGATTTGTTGTTAACATAAGTTATAATCATGAATGCTTGACGAGATTTACAAGTATTATCATTAATCGAATAAGATGACTAATGTAATCATGTTAATAATCTATAATCAGATTGGAACCTCCTTTGTGTGTGGTTTCCAATTGAATAATAAAAGTTTATACTATACTTGTTTGACATACCATTAGTGGAACCTCTAACCTTGACATTTGTTATTATCATTGTTTAAACCTTACCTTAATATTTCATCTCCAAGTTCTCATCTTCTTCTTCTTCTTCTCTTTCTTTATTACTACTACTACTACTACTACTACTATTAGTATTATTGTTTTGTTGTTGTTGTTGTTGTTGTTGTTGTTGTTATTATTGCTATTGTTGTTGTTTATAATTTATACAATTAACCTCCCTATGATTCGACCCCGGTCTTGCCGGGTTATTTATTACTTCGACACTCCTACACTTGGGAGAAGACAACAATCTTTTAGTGGTGTCAAGTTTTTGGCACCGTTGCCGGGGAGGTAAGTTTTTGTATAAATTATAATATTTATTTTATTTTCTCTTTTAACTTTTCTTGTATATAACTTTGTTTCTTTTCTCTTGTTTCTTCTTCTTTTGTTTTCTTTTTCCTTTTATTCTATTCCTACACGTGCATGAGAGTGTGGTCACGTACATGAAGTGGTAGACTTTGTAGGGTATCCTCATCATTTTCAGAAAACATGGCTGAAGACTAATTCCCTGCCAGCACTTCCATTTCCTCATGCCATGACTAATTAGGAAGAAATCGAGGATGAAAAAGACACCGAAAATGTTAATGCGAATCTTTTATCAGAAGTGACAACAGATTCAACACCCAACATCACACCAATCGATGATTACTTTCATGATGAATCTCTACTTTCTCTTAGTTCAATGCCTTGGTTTGCTAAAAATATCAATTTTCTTGCTTCAGGATTTTTGCCAGCTCACTAGAGTACCGAAGATAAAAGAAAATTTTTGAGCGACGTGCAAAAATTTTATTGGGATGACCCTTACTTATTCAATTATTGTCCTGATCAAATATTTCAAAGATGCATTCCTGACAATGAGGTAAGTGATGTTATTAAATTTTATCACTCTAAGGCACGTGGGGATCATTTCTCATCAAAAAAGAGGATTGTAGAAATCTTACAGAGTGGATTTTACTAGCCCACCATATTCAAGGAGTCACATACATTCCGTAAAAACTGTGAAAATTGTCAAAATGTGGGCTTTATTTCAAAACACAGAGAGTCTTTAGATAATCTTTTATTGACTCTTAAGTCTCATCATAGTCGAGATAAGCATCATGTAATTCATGACTTATGAACCCATTTTCATAAAGAACATGCTTGGTATAGTCTTGAGAATCTGACTAAAAAAGACCATGTTTGCCAGTTTTTAAGAAAACTAGATGGGAAGCCTATCCCCGACCCATAGAGGGCGTTTAAGCTGTTCTTCGACGTAAAATCAAGGGAAGATGTGAGCCACAATCACAACTACCTGTACATACACATGCTTTTTCAAAAGTAAATAAATAAATAAATAGAGAGAGAGAGACTCTAGCTGGCCTACATATAGGTGGTATGATTATCTTTCTAATTTCTCATCTATAAAACCCTCTCTTCCTTCCTTTCATTTCTACTCAACCCATACATTCAACAAATACAGAAGTGTGTAGAAATGACAAGTTCCTCAAGTCATCATATAAGAAATATTTGTGTTTTCGGTGGATCTAGTCCTGGGAAAGAAAAGGAGTTTTTAGAATCAGCAAATCATCTTGGTCAAGTGCTAGCTGAGAGAAAGATTCATTTAGTGTATGGGGGAGGCAGTCTTGGGTTAATGGGAGGTGTGTCAATAGCTGCATTTTTAGGGGTTAATGGGAGGTGTGTCAATA